CCCCCTCACTAGCTCGCGTCGAGCGCGAGGGAAGGGGGGGGGAGGCGCCCGCGAGACGCAGCCGACGAGCAACCGCCTTCCCTTCCCGCTGGCCGGCCTGCCGCCGGACCAACCGCTGCTCCCGGCGAGATTGCGCGTGTGGCCCCACCTCCACCAGTCACCTCCCAGCGCGAGGCGGACGCGCGCCCTTGCGCGCGAGATACAGAGAGAGGATGGACCGCGCGCCAGCAGCGGCTCCCTGTGGCTCGTGTAAGGGAGGGCGCGAGCGTCCTCGAAGGAGGGCAAGGCGCGTTCGCGCGACGAAGCTGGGGAGCGAGCTGCTGGGGGTGGGGGGTGGGCAGGGCACGGTCATTTAACCAAGCTTTGCTCAGGCTTCTTCAACTGGGCGCCCCCAGATGCGATAGACTACGACTCTCACTTGGAGGGAACAGCGATGTGTGTCTCTTACAATTGCCAGTACTGCTTTGGTTCCATCTTCTCCGATATGGCTCTTTACTATGTATGGCGTGCTGCTTGAACAGATCATCACCAAGCCAAATAGCAAAAAGTCTCTAGTCCACCGCAGAGAATTTAACAAACTGAGGGAAATGGAGACATTGATTTAAATATAGGCAGACAGGCAAGCAGAGGCTTGGGGAAATTGTGGATAATGTGACAACATGCCTTCTGTCTGCCTCTAGCATAGGGGGTTTCAAACTCTTAGTCAGCCCCTCCCTCCCCAGGAAGATTGCAAGCATCTTAGAGGAAGGCTACAATATTTTTAAAAAATTAGGCCTATGCAGGTAAAGTGGAAGGACTGTAAAGCTTTGTTCCCCACTTAGCCCATTCAGGCCCCCTGCAGAGGTGCCCAGGCAAAATGGGAGCAAGTTTTGACAGAACTCTCATTTTACTGTGCACGCAAAGCAGAAGTGATGTCAAACTTGCTCTGGGGTTTGCTCCTCACTTTTCCTGTTCAAGCTTTAAGTAGGAAGTTGTGGCACTGCGAAGGTTAATAGGTCCTACATTGATAGATTAAAATGTAATTACTAGAAGTGGCATGTTTATTCCTTGTCCAATCCTCCAGTTAACTCATTTGTTTTATTAATGGGGGGTGGGGGTGGGGTTCATTTATCATTTTATGGAACTGTGATTTTGCCAAATTTGAGAACTAGGGATATGCTACACTTTAGATCCAATACCAAAAAGGGGCTTCAGAGTGGGCAGCTACTCTGCAAGTCCAGGAAATGACATTTCTTTAAGAAGATGTGCACATCCACCTTGCTCCAAAGAACCCTTTTGGCTGTTTGGAGACACTTGGTAACTGCACTGGGCAAATTAAATATAGTAGAGTCTCGCTTGTCCGACATAAACGGGCCGGCAGAACGTTGGATAAGCGAAAATGTCGGATAACACACAGTAACGATTGAGTGCGGTAAAAAAAAAACAAAACCGATCCACTGCGCCTGTTGCAATTGATTTTTGCGTTGCGGCGCCCCACCGTCCGGAGCAACAAGAAAGAGTACACTCACGCTCGCAAACAAGCAGCACACTTTTCTCGTCACCGATTTATGCGTGTTGTGTTTTTTTTTAGGGGCGTCGGATAAGACGGAATGTCAGATAAGCGAAGGTCGGTTAAATGAGACTCTACTGTAACTTGTAGAATTGAACACTTGGTAATGAGGAACCTGAGCACCAATACTTATAATGTATGTGTGCAGTCAGCATTGGTAATATTTGGCAAATCTATATGTAAGTGCATTGCTCTCCCCAGTGCTATATAGATTAGCTATACACGAAAAGGTCCACCCCTTTGATTTGACTGAAGAAGTCTCAATAACTGATTTGTACAACATAGTGAACCAGACCACATTATGGCTTGTATGAGACTTGAACAAAATCAGCCATGGCTACAAAGCCTTGGATGAGTTGTATCAACTCAATGCCTTGCGATGCATAGCATTAAAAACCTTTCATATAAAAATATCCAAAGTTTCTTCTAAGATTCTAGGGAATTTAGGGCAGGTTCACTACCATTTTTTACAATCATTCTGGGAAACAGAGGGAACCATGCTCCCTGAAAATTAGGCTGCTGTTAAAGTGTGAGTGTAACTCATTCAATGATTGATTGATTTACAGCAACCCAGTCTGAATAGTTAACAACAACAACAAAAACATCTTAAAATCAAATTTAAAAGTATAAAATTAAAGTATAGGCATCAAATCTGAAGCAGTTCAAACAACTTGGAATAAAAGCAGTTACGTAGAAACAACTGCAGTGATTTAAAAAGCCTTAAAACTAAAAAGCACTTTAGGACTAGAGGGTCAGAGCAGAAGGCATATTATGGAGAAATTAAATAAATGAATGTAACTGGTAAAGTAATCTCAGAGGACACACCATAAAACAAGATAAACGGGGACTGAGCATGCTCGGTGGGGTTAGAATACTGGTAAATCAGATTGAAAAAAACAAAGGGGGCAGAATGGAATGAAGTTGATGAGACAGTTTCCTAGCTGTGCATGGCAACAGGTTTTGATTAGCTGATTAAGTCAAAAATCAGTTACATCCTATGACCCCTTAAATTCAATTCCTGCCTTCCCAATGGAAAGATGGAAACTATGGAAGATATTCTTCACTTCTGTAATTTATTTTGAAGTCACAATCAATATTCTTCCCTTATCAGCATTTCAGCTTAGTAAAGCAGCAGTTATCTTATAGCAGCCAAAATTCATGAAGTTTCTTGAATGGTGGTAAAATTCCTGACACAGGCTGAGAAAACCAGGAAGCAAATGCTGAAGTGGTGATTTGATCTTTATTATTGTGGAAGTTACTCACTTGGGGATTGTCATGTGTTGTAAATGTTACCTGTATCCTGAGTGTGTGTCAGTATATTGCATGTACCTAATTTCTTGTAGAGGTGTGGCTTGCAAATAGTTCCTAGATTAGAGATCAAAGCTTACATAGAATAGGGTAAGCATACTTGGAGTAAAACTAGGCTATGGTTGACATGATGTACTGGCCAAAATGTGCCAAAACAGACTGGAATTGTCTATACTTCTAGCAGGCAATGCTACATGTAGCACTGGGGTGACTAAGGCAAGTAGCCTAGTCTATTACCTTCTCTGTCTTACTAAAAAGTATTATTTGAAAGCCTTGATTGAATAAAGCCATGATGAGCAACTAAGGTCTGAACCCAACTCGTGATGACCCCAGCACATGGAAGATTGTGACTTAATAAGAGGCATAAATGGTAAAGAGTATTAATTAATGAAAGAAAGAAAAGCTAATATGTTATATGTCTGTGAAACTCAGAGAAAAAGGAAGAATGTAATAGATTTCAATGAAGGTGGCCTGATCTTTTGGAGCAGGCTTGATGTATACATGAGGGAAAGTGAAAGGGTAGGTTTCATTATGAATGAAAAGGCTAAAATGTGTGTCAAAATGTATGAATTAGTATTATTTAGGTTATGGATGGTAGTAGGAATCCATAGGTTGATGATAGTTGCATGTTATGCCTCATTCAGTGAATGGTTATAGTAGAAAAACTTGCAACAAGTTTGGGGAAAATTTGGGTAATATTCTGAATGAACGCGAACAAGGGGAAAATTATTCTGTTGGGTGATATAAATGGATGGATAGGAACCAGATAAGAGAGTAACAGTAATAATGGGGCTATTTGAAGATCCAAGAATGAATGAGAATGGTGTTTGCTGAATGTCTGCTTAAAAAAGAGCTGTTTGTTTTCAGATATATGGTTTAGCATATGTCTATTCATATGTTCACATGGAAAAGAAAAAAATTATGATGATTTATGATGAAAAAATGAGAGAATTAATGAAGATTACAAGAATACTGAGAGATTCTGTATATAGGACATATCAATATTTGATAGCATCAAGAGTGGATCTCAGGAAAACCTAGGCATGGAAGAAAAGGAAAAGGTAAATGAAAATAGATTAAATTGCAAGAAGAGAAAGTATGAGTCCTGTATGAAAACATATTAGATGATTGCTTACTCTCCCAGTAGAACGAATGGAAAGTGGGTATAAGGAAATACAAACTGGAAACTCCTTGGATCAGTATGTTGCAGAGTACCACAGAACAATATTGCCACTCTGTGAAGGCAAATATGAAAAAACTAGCTTGGTAGAATGACAAAATGAAAGAGGCTGTTTGAAAAGCATGCATATAAGAGAATACGAGGTGCAAATAATCTGGATGAGAGAAAGATATTGTATAATGTCAAAAAGAGCAAGGAAGGAAAAAGTTTAAAGAGGCAGTGAAAATGCATTTTTTGATTGAAATAAACATTGTTTTGGAAGTGGGTGAAAAGGGCAAACAGAGCCTTGAACAGAGTTAATGGAATTATAAATAAAAGTGATGAAACGATTTGGAATGAAACTGAAAGGAAGGAATGCTGGAAGGAGTATTTTAGAGATCTGTATGGGCATGATACATTGAAGACTGGAACTGAAATAAATCTTATAAATGTGTGTCCAAAGGAAAAAAATGATGAAAAGGAAGTCATAAATATTGTGAGAATGTTAAAAAATGGTAAAACTCTGGGAGAAGATAGTATAACTGGAGAAATATTAAAATATGGGTGTAGATGACTTATAGAGTGGCTGTGCAACTAATTTAACGTGTATGAAGACTGTGTCCATGTCCAATGACTGAAAGAATGTTATTGTTTCCCTGTGCAAAGGAAGAGGTAGCAAGAATGAATGCACAAACAGCAATTTGAATTAGCTTCAGAGAACTGAAGCTTTATTTGTGATCTTAAACTGAATTGTAGTGAGTTATTGAATTAATTAATTATATTTTGTTATTTTGTACTGCACATAGTTATAT